GGTAAGGTAGGATTTGATAGTGCTTGATACGTCTACTTGCAGACACTAGCCCTGGGGAATTACCTGAGTCGTATGTACCACCCTTTGAAAATATATTGGTAAGTTGTTGGATTATTGTGTTTTCAAATTGCAATATGCACAAGTTTTTCCAAAAGATTGAGAAATGCATTATGAGCATGACATGGCATATGCATTCATCTCAAGAAATTGTATAAAACGTATAGACTTTGTTAAGATGGCTCTACTGGGTTTTGTGCAGGAAATGATGTAGTGTTTCCGCCAAGTTTAAGGCGTGGAAATGTTTGAGGGCATATGGCTCCTTTTTTTTTTTATTGTTCTTTTGACAAGCCAAGGGCTTTACTTGTATTGGTTTGATAATCATTTTTGGGTAACCGGGCATAAGCCTTGGAACTTGTAGCCCATGAGGGAATTACATTTTATTTCATTCTATACCACATGCTATAGATTCATATCCTAAGATTGTTGAATGTATTATTGCATGTGGAAATACTATGTAAATCTCTGGAATGTATTGAATACGAAACTTAGAGATTTAATGATGTTCTTAGAAATGAGATTTCATATACACTCTATGTACAACTATGGTAATGAGAGTTATTGAATTTGAATATGATCTTAATGTTAGGTATTTATGAGCTTTCCTTGGAACAATATTTTGGGGGCGTTACAAATGCTGCCTCGAACCTGCCATGGGGCGCTGCCCCCTAGGCCCCCGGGAGCTGATCGGGCAACTCGATCCCTGACATAGTCAGCGAAGTGGCAAACATGAAAGAATTAAGATCACAAACTCCTCTGCATAGGCACAATTCGAATTGGATTTGCATCCAAATACTCAAGGCCTTACTAAAATAAAAGATCGAATAAAATTACAACTGAAAGGAGTTTTGTAAATGGGATTGCCAATTTCAAAAACCTAACAGTATGTATACAATTTAAGTAAAATACAGTTCGGATCGATTCCAACCTAGATCTGTGAGCTTCAATCCGAAACAGATCCGCGGAGGATAGTTACTCAAATTTTCAAACCAGAACTGAACCACAGATTCAAAAAACTAAACCAAATTTACCGAATTGGACTGGATTGGTTCGGTTTGTGGATTTTACAGTTCCTTTGCTCAGCCCTAGCCTGAATGTCACAAAATTGTCTTAAATTTCATGAGAAATCTATAGCATGATTTTTATGTTGCTTATAAATAATTTAGATTGCATTGTTAGGTTGCGTTCTAAGTACTTTATTTTTTTTGATTTTATTGATTGTTCTATTTTATTGAATGATAGCTGAAGAAAGAGCAAGTTTGATCCAAATACCAGAGGAGTAGATCCAAGTAAATTTTCAGGAGGCATCTATAGGCTGTGATTTACTTGTGTTTCAAAGGTAAATTCATGTTCTCTCATTGTTAATAAAAAAAATTATTTTTCATATATCATCTTTAATCTATAAGTATTATGTGCTGGATTTTTTTTAATGAACGTCTTTATTAATTTACTTCAAGAAGAGGTTATGTGGCTTTATTACATATTTTCATTTTCTTTGAAGTAGTACTTGTTCAAGTGCTCATTAATAACTTCTTTATTCTTCAAGAGAATCAAAATTCCAAGAAGGAAATGAATGTCTTGAGTTGAAGTCTTGTTTTCCACTAATAAAAAATATTTTTGATGAATCACTTTCTTATGTAGTTTTTTACATTATTTTTTTCTTTGGCTGGAGATATTTATGATAAGAGCAGCATGCTCATAAATGTTTCAAGCTTTTGAATGTTTACATGCCTACTATAAATTTGTATACTCTCTTTGTTGAACCTTTGTTGTTACAACTAACACAATACTCTCACATAGTTCTTAAAATCATGGTAGGTATAACGCTCTATTTCACTCGACAGCCCCACCCAACCAGCCTAGACCCTCCGAAACTGTTAGAATAATATCTTTGGTTATTGTATCTTTATTATTCTATTAGCTGGTATTTCCTTATTTGTGCCTCCAAGGCTTCCATTGTAAGCTACCTATTATCAATATAAAAGGGGATGATTGTCTAATTATTCCCTAAGTTTTTCTCTCTCAAACAAACATGGTATCAGAGCTTTAGGGTTACCATCTCATTCTCCACCTTCACCTATCACCACCTAACTGTTGCCCACTGTGTTTCGACACTCTATGCTTTGTCTAGGGCCTGCAATAGTCACTGGTGAGCACCCAGGACCAGTCAACAATCAATGTTTGTTGTTCAGCTTAAGCCAAAAGCTCCTTGGCCTCTTTCAGCCCAAGCCAAAAGTTCCAAGCCTGTTTCGACTTCAGCCAACGGCCACTCTGAAGCTTCTTTAACCCACTACATGTTTTGATTGGTTCATCTGCACCACTATTCCTAAGTCTAGCAAGGTTTTGCCTTATTTGAGAATAGTTTAGCCCTTGTTTTGATTGGAGGTTTTTTTTTCATTTAGTTTATTTATTTTTTGGGTCATTATATGGTCCCATTACCTAACTTTGACTAATTGGTATGCTTCTGTAATGGTTTGTAATTGATATTGCTTGGTCCAGTTGATTTTAGTTCCTCTTCCAGTACTTGTGATAGTACAGGTTGTTATTTGGTTTGTAGAGTATAAATGGCCGACCTTGCTAGTGAATCCCCCACTACTTCTCAGCCATCTAGAGGGGAGAGTTCCATTATGAATACTACATTCGAAAACCTAAACCCTAGCCTAAAAATCACCACCTCTTTGTTTAATGGTCAAAATTATCTTGCTTGGTCACAATGTCTGACACTTTTCTTGAAGAGTAGAGGGAAGATGGGTTATGTTGATGGGAGGATCAAGGCACCAGGCATCACTGATCCTAGTTATGACCAATGGGAGATTACCAATTCTTTAATTATGAGATGGCTCATTCATTCCATGGTACCTAATATAGGGGAAGACTACTTGTCTATGGATACCGCCCAGAATATTTGGGATGCTGTGATTACTACTTATTCTCCGAAGGGGAATTTCTCACAGACTTCTGATTTATGCTGTTCGATTGAGCACTCAATACAAGGGGAGATGACTATCCTTCAGTACTTCACTTTTCCTAACAATGGCTGGAAACACCCTGATCATCTACAGGATTATAAGCCTATTTGCACAGCTAATTCAGTAGGTTACCGGAATTTATTGAACAGGAAAGGGTCTTCAAATTTTTAGAAGGTCTCAACTTAGAGTTTGACCCTGTTAGGAGTCATGCCCTTAGTATGGATGTTCTTCTCTCCCTTCAGGAGGCCTTTGCTTATGTACAGAATGAGGAGAGTCGTCGTTCTGCTATGCTGCCACCTACCTCTACAGAGCGCTTAGCCTTACTTTCTGCTTTTCCTAGGGATGGTACTAGTATGCCTCGTACTTTCCCTAGTCCTTCAGAGAAAGATACACTGTTATGTGATTATTGTAGCCAGTCGAGACATACCCCTGAGACTTTTTGAAAGCTTCATGGGGTTCCTTCTGGTGGTCGTGGTGACCGTTCTGGTAATCGTGGGGGTCGCTCTGGACGGTCTCGAGGACGCGGGTTTAATCCACGTCCATATCATACCAATACAGTGGATACTCCTGACGCCTCTTCAGTTGATCCTCCTAGTGGTGATATTTTTGAGTTAGAGGATGCTTTGCTCTACCTATTGGATCGTTGCTTTTCTACTACTCCATCCAGTACATCCTCCTCGTCTTTTGCCCACTCAAGTAACTTAGCTGCTTCTCCAAGTGCTTTTCTATCTCAGATGTCTTTACCTTGGATTATTGATTTTGGTGCCTCAAATCATATGTCTGGGTCTTCTGATCTGTTCTCAAAATATAAACCATCTTCAGGTCAGGACAAAGTTAGGATTGCTGATGGTACTGTTTCTTCTGTTTCTGGGAAATGTTTAATCCACGCCACTCCTTCTCTACCATTATCTTCTGTTTTGCATGTTCCTAATTTCTCTGATCTTTTATCATTGAGTCATCTTAGTCATGGCCTAAATTAGTGTGACTTTCTTTCTTGATCATTGTTTGTTTCATGACCTTATCACAAGGAAGACTATTGACAGTGGTAAAGTGGAGCATAGTCTCTATATTCTGGATCAGGTGGATAAGCTGGCACTTCATTCCTTCAAGTTTTTAACCACCAAGGAAGACCTATGGGTGTGGCATCAGCATCTTGGGCACCTATCATTTCTATTTATGGCTTTTGTATTTTCTATGGTGATCATCTTATATCATGGAAAAGTAAGAAGCAGACAGATATTTTTAGGTCTTCTGCAAAAGCTGAGTATCGGGTTATGGCACAGAGAACATGTGAGATTCTATGACTTCGTTCTATTCTAACAGAGTTGGGATCTGAGGAGACAACTTCTGCCTCTTTGTTTGTGACAACAAGTCTGCTATTAAGTTGTCTTATGATTATGTCCTATATGAGCGTACTACGCATATAGAGATTGATATACATTTCATTCGAGAAAAGGTTCAGACTGTATTGTGAGTTCATTCTTTGTCTCTTCTTCTCAGTAGTTAGCAGACATGTTCGCCATGTCTGTAGGGCCATCATTACTCCAGTCATCCATTGGCGAGTTACGTTTGTTGAATATCTTCACACTAGCTTGAGGGGGAGCGTTGAATTTAGGAAATAACAATATTGTAATTATAGTAATGTGTATAAAATCCACGATTGTGTAAATCACAAATTTAGTGCCTTTATAGTTTCATTTCCTATTTTGTAATATTGTTTCATTATATATACGTAGCTCTACCTTATTCATAGGTAAGCCAAAACATCTTTTTCATTCTTTTTATATTTCCCAGGCTGTGGTGTGGGTTCAAGTCACAGAAATCAGCCTCTTTGAGTCATTTAATTACTGATTTTATTTCTTCATACCTTGTAGATTATATTGGCAAGAGAGTATTTGAATGATGTTACTATCAGCAGGGAGCAAGTGAAGTATCTTGTTTGGGAAACACTTCGAGGTGGTTGCCAGGTTCTTATTTATGGAACCCTTCCTTAGTTTATGTTAAAAGTGAAAAAAATCTAGAAATCCCCTAGATATTAATTTGTGATTATGTATCAATTTTAAGAAGTAAATAACAATCCCAATTAAACAATCAAGACAAATCGACACAATGATTTTAACGTGAAAAACCACAATTGGAGCGCCTCCAATTGTGATAAAAAAACCACGGGCAAAAGCCACAAAACAATCCACTAAGAAGACAAAAGGAATTACACAAGTTCACTCTCAAGTACCTAGCGAACGGCTACGTCGTAAGACGTCCCCGAGAAGACTCCCCGGGAGGAACGCAGTTCCGCCCGATTCCGTTCGATATTGGGCTCACTACAGTTCGGACTCTCAAATTGCACGGTTCTAAATCTGAATCAAAAAGTCCAAATCCGGCAAATCTTGAGAAAAATAGATTTTGAAAGAAGTGCCAAACATGGACTGCTTTGCCAGATACAGATCGCCACCTAAATGTTTTATTTGGGGAAATTTAGGAAACCCTGTCTCGTTTGCCTAAGCCACGTGTCAGTCATCACCAAAGTTTGCCTCGGCTCGGAAACTTGGGTACGATTGGAGAAGGTCACTTGTGAGCACCCCTGCTCGCCCGATCAGATCGGCCTCTACTAACCATGAATATCTATTTTTGGAAAACATTATGCGTTCTTATTCCGGTTATTAGCCTAAATTTACTACGTGATGCGCACATCATACAAGTAATAGACTAGATCGTCTGAATTGGAACAAAATATTCATGTTTATTTTTTAAAGTGGTTGATGGTTGCTACCCACAAGTAGGCTAAGACATGGATTTGCCACCCTCGGGTGGGCTTAAAAAACATGATTTTGGCCACTATCTAGTGGGCTAAAACACACATTTGATGAATTGTTCCAATTCAAATAACCCAACCTTCACCCACAGGCATTCAGGCATTATATCACATAAGCATATAGCCTCATGGTAAGCATGTTATTCATGGCAGTCACTCACACGCATGCAAGGATGCTAAAGCATAAAACTTACCGAGTACTCAAGCCAAAAAACATAAGCCGATTAGAAATCCATGAATAATCCTAATTATACGGAAATGCCCTAATGTAACACATGCAAAATTGCAACTATAGCAAGCTCGGCATTCTAAACATGGCATATGAAATGCTACAGCTTAACATGTATTCAACTTGGAATTGAAATAGCAATGCAGTTAGTTGATGCGCCGAGCCCGGTGCATGCAAAATAGCATGAATGAATGCAAACATGCTATCATACTGTATGCTAATTGAACATGCCCTAATCAACCATCATAAGGGTAAATTAAAGGAGAAAGACAGTGGGGTTGAAGAGCCATACATCCCTACACACACGCACATTACTAGAATTGTTGCCATCGCTCGGGAGGGTCGTAAATATACAGTCTGAATTAAATAATTACAAGTCCAATAATTACCAAACCCTAATTAATTAAGCAATTAAATTAGGAAATCAATAAATTGGCATGGCAAGCCAGGGATGCCTCACTCTGTCCGGATGATGGATGATGCATGCTTGAGTTGCCTTGTGGCAGGAAATCTACACGATGCCCAAATTTCAGCCCTCTGTTTGTAAATTATTCTCGGATGCGTGCCAGTTTCGGAAGGCTGCTTGATCTTTGATTTGCTGTAACAAAGAGCAAGAAAGGGCATAGCAAAGGTATTTGTCACATATGTATGCATGACTACCCTTCAGGGGAGTGGTATCCTCGATCTCGTGCCACTCAATACGCATCTCGATGCATGATTGGCCGATGATCGAATTGCAGCACTCAATATGAAATGAATGCACTATATGGACACAAACGGACTAGACTCCATCATGGATAATCCAGAGTGTCGGCACCGAGGAATTGAGACACCATCCGTCACCGGAATACGAAACGCCCCGCTTTCCCGAGTTGCTCGGTCTAACTCCTATCTCCCAAACGAATGCAATATACATACAGCATGAAATGCAACTAAGTACACCTATGCATGCACAATGCTAGGAAAATGGCATACATCGATGCTACGAGATAACATGACATACACAATGCGGCTAACATACAGCCTAGGCATACACAATGCTTGAAATTGAAATGGCATCACAATGCAATATGGGCTTTACACCAACGTGAGTGGACCATCAGCCGCACTCACATAGGAGGCCATACGATGAAAATGAGCCAACTCTGAAAATACGTGCCCACGTGCAACGCGAACCGAGGAATCGACCTTAAGGGCACCAAAAATGCACTCCTAACAGACATGGCAAGGCATAGAATATGGCAATACTAAGCATGCAAATAATCAGTAGCAAAATATGATGCGAAAACGGCCCCAGAGCAATGGAAAACATGGCACCGATACTGGTGAGACCCGCGAACACATGAAAATATAGGTACATGGAATGAACCTATGGCTATGCAAAGCATGCATTATCTACGAACATGAAGTGTGAAGAACAGAATCATAAGATAGTCCCAAAAAAAGCATATTTACAGTTTTAAGACCCAGGCCAAAAAGTGACACAAATAGGGCTAAAGTTAAATCGCGCAAATGCCGCCAAAAGAGAGATAAGATGAAGAAAGTACCAAGCTGCTGGCCCTAAATGGCCAAGAGCCATCCACAAAGTTTGAAGAGGGGCTCAAAACATGGTATTTTTACAATTAGTGACCAAACCCAAAACAAGTGCACCATGCAAGGCTTAAAATACTAGCGCAAAATTAAGGCCTAAAGAGAGGTTTAAACACAAGAGCAAAAAGGGAGCTTCAAACAGAAAAACAGTCCCTTGATCAAACATGAAGAAGGGGGTCAAATAATAGGCCCTATTTAAACAGATTAGGACCAGAGCCCCCCAAAAATCACAGCACAAAGGGCTAACAAAAACATGCAAAGTAAGGCAAAAGAGAGGGATGAAGAAGGCAAGTGTAACGAAAAGAAAGCCTCAACGAGTGAAGAGCCCTTCAACAATGTTGGAAGAAGCGGCTACAAAACTAAGCCACTTTTTCAGTTTATGACCAAGCTCAAATAGTTTAGAAATGGCCTAAAAATACTAATGCAAGAAGAGGTCCATACAAGAGGGAGGGTAAATAAAGCAACGTGTGATAAGCATAGAGTACCCCTTAACATGGAAGGACCTTATCAATCATGAAAAATACATCAAAAACATGCACTATTTTAAGTAGGGGTCCGGAGCCCAAAAATGTAAAAAGTTGGTTCTTGGATATAGAACAAAATAAAGCACAAAAGGGAGAATGAAGACTCACCCTTGTAGACCAAGCTTCAGAGCTCTTGGCTTGAGAAAAGGTGCTCCTAAGCTCTGGAAAACCAGCTCAAGTGTTGGAAAGGATGGTGGTGTGTGGGGCTATGTGGTGGTGTAGAAAGGGTGTGGATTTGAGGGGTTTTTAAGGGTTGGGTGTAAGAGAGAGAAGATCAATGTAGAGGCTTAGACAAGTTTCTAACCCCTCAAATGGGAGCTGAGGGCGTGGATATATAGGCAAAAGGGGAAAAAAATGGGGGGATGAATTCAATTTCCTCCAAAAGTGGCCCCCCCGGATACAAAATCATGTTGGTGGATTGAACTAAAGATAGGTGCCAATCCTTTAAGAGTAGTATGGATCATAGGCACGTGTACCTGTACGACGAGGAGTTGTATCCTCTATAGGGTTTGAGGACCGGGGCGGTCGCCGGTTTCCTAGGCCAAAGGGGTCAATAGGTGATCCAAGAAATATATTGGACCGGTAGATTCGCGCCGGGGCCCATGCCAAAAAGAGGGCCTCTGCACTCGATAAGTGGAGATCAAAAAGGGTTCAATAGGGTTAACTGGCCCAACGGCAACCCATGTGGTCAAGCCAAAAACACGTAGGGCTGGAGCAGATACTATGAAGTGCTGGCACAGCTGAAACGCAACGAGAAATGCCGACTGTGTCATAGGAAAGAGCGGTTCTAGGAAGAGGAAACGAACATATTAGCTTAAGGCCATGAGGCACGATAGAGAAAATGCTCGAACTATTGGTACGTGACGCGTCAAAAGGGGCTTTAGCGATGTGTAAGGGACTATACACAAAATAATAGTGGCATCTCCCATTGGCCAAGGCAAGAAAAGTTGGACCTTCATGGGTGGTCAAATTCGCTATTTCGAAAGTGGGCTATAAATGATATTAGGTTGGGCGCATCGGAGGGCTGATGTGGAGGAATATAAACACATACAACAAGTCAGTTCAAAAGTGTCAGGATTGCTGGCAAGAATAAGGAATGCTGGCCCCCTCTATACGGCGTGGTCATCCATTTGGCCCCTTATCGCAAGCTGGTTCTGAGAAACAATGGGTCGAGACAGATAGGAAGGGCGACTGGAGCTGACAATACAAAAAAATGAACACTCTATCAGTACCGTGCAAACTGGAGAGTTACACAGTTGCTGGGCGCGCAGCATCACTCAGCCGAAGCACGCGCCTTCGTATGGCTAACACTGAAATTACGCCGAGTTGATCACTGACTGTGTACGAGAGAAATGCACGGTCACAAGAATGGTCGCTGATTGTGCAAAATGGAGGCTCAGACGAAGGGGGTTCGGCGTATTTTTTATCAAGCGGAGCCACGAGCTAGAGTCCTTCTCCACAGAAGGCACGTAAGAATAAGATGCAATCGCTGAGCGCACATAATACCGGTATAGGAGAACGGTGGTTAGATGGTGTGTCTCGCACGCAACCAGAGAGAAGGCACATTGGCCTATATTTTCGGGCGACCCACAGTGCTCCCTCAAGAAAAGAGCCAGAAGATAAATTACGGAGATCGTCAAAGCCGAAAGAACGCCCAAGAGTCGGCCCTCACGGCCGAGAACGTAGCCTAGTCTGGCCACTGAAGAAGATGATCTACCGAGACTTCTCTCTTCCCTTCTGGTGAGAAACCAGAGAAAAACCTCCGGTCCAGCCTCGGTTTCGCGGAAGCGAGGCACAAATGCACGAGAGGCC